TATCAACTTTTTCGATTTTAACCTCCATTTTGAAAAACAATCGGGTTTTAACACCTGACGTGCCGAATTCCAATTCCAAAAAATTAAATAATTTCTCTTAACCAGGAATTCCCCTGAACAAACAATTGAATGTCGGTGCCAAAAACGAGAAACTGAAAAGCCTTCTACGATCCTATGTTCAAACTGAAATGGAGCAGACGTATGGCCATGGTGTTTATGTTAATTTCTGAGAGGACTGCAGCTCACCATCACTAAATTGATAGCTGACTATCCAGTGCTCTAGTTGGCACAATGTGTAGTCACTACTTTTCTTGTTACATGAACTTCTAGCATAAGCATATCACACTAAATGTCACATTAATTTACGCTATTGTGTGACACTTACGGTCATACAACCGCACGCGGGACAAAACAGACAGAAGTAAGTATAGATAGTCCGCGTTTGCTACATTGCGTGAAAATTAGAGTTACAAAACTGAATATATCGGCAATTTACTTTTCATAAAAAAAAGTATAGTTCAATTTACTTTTTTATATCACGAAATTTAAAATTAAAAGAATTAGAATTCATAGACATGATTAATTCCTCTTCCGATATTTCCTTTTTATATCCTCCATTCCACAGAATGCTCAATGGTCCATAAACCTTAATTCCAGAACTATTTCACATCATGTAAAATCCAATCCATCAATTTTTCTTCCCAGAACCAATTGCTGATTTTTCCATAAAAAGAAGCTGTAGGATACATTCTAAAAGTGCTAAATGACAAGTACTGCTGAATTCTGATACAAAGGATGTAAAACGTTTCAGCTGCAGTATGACCGACTGAGAGTTTTAATCGACCAAAAAAATGATTCAAGGGACTGCGAAGTGGAACTCTATAGAATAAATGAAACATTATACGACAATAATAACGGTTTAAAGCTCATGGTGAAACTCTTCAGGGCAGAAAAACGTCAAAATCGCGAAGGATCATTAATCATTCCTGACTGATAACTTTTGATGCCGAATGACACACTGAAAAATCGACGACTACCACAAAACGTTGAAAGTCGGACTCTGAGCATTTGGTCAATCCGCTGTTATTACGATAAGCTGACAGAAATAAGCTGAAAAAGTGTACTGGAACAAGATGGAAAGAAATAAAAAACTGTTTATGCGAAGCTTTTGGAAGTCTTCATTCAGCTGTGCTGAATTCATTTCGAAAAAAACTGATAATGACGAATTTTTTTTAAATTTAATGAATTATTTCATGCCTTGCCGTTAATTTCTTATTAAACGTATTATATAAAATATTCCATAATCGTTCATTCGCTGGTTAACCAGCACCGATTCTGGTTCATTCTTCAAGAATTATCTTCACCGCTAAGCGGGTTGTTTCTTTAGGTACTTCTCGTTCTCATCGGTTACAGTTCGAAGTTTAGATAATCATCGTAGTTTTAATACCAAATACTAAGTGTTGAAGAGCTACCTTAAAAATACGGTACTATCAATAACTAAATAACATTTCAAAATTCTTTTAAAAAAAATGCAAGTCAAAACTGACTTGGAAACTAAAAATGAAGTACATCCAAATCGACAATTGACGGATTAAAGGTTCGGGACACCAAACAAATCAAATGGTTGAGGTTCTTTCACTAGCTGGAATGTTTAGAACCTAAAACCTAAAGTCTGAAATATCCAGTTACTCGCCAAAGATCCGCTTTTTGTAAAAGATCATAAAAAGTCTGCATTTATATAATAAAGTTATACGATCACTTCTGAATAGTACCATGACAACTTTAATTATATCACCACCGTCATGGCGTTGAACTTAATTTGCAATGTTTTCCTTCTGCACCACGGGACGAACTCAATGAGTCATGCATCATGCAAGATGCTACACAATAAAATGTCAATTATGCCTGAGCATCATATAAATACCCCGTGATGTTGATGCTTAATGCGGTGAGAGATGGGAATGACCCAAAAGCTCGTGCTACATAACCTAAATACACTGGCAAGTGAAAACAGATATTTGAATAGCTGTCAACACGTTGAAACTTTATTCTATTTACCACTCAGTCCAATGTTCCATGAAACCAAAGCGTAGCTGAAACTGAAACGGCAAGATTTTGGCTCACTGAGACTTGAAATCAGAATACAGGCAAACTGCTAGTCGCCAAAGTGATGACGATGAATGCAGAAGATACCACTCAAAAGCATCTACCTCTAATGAAACTAGAAAATTAAGGCTTTGCTGTCAAAATGCCAATAGTAGGCTAACTGACAAAGAAAAGGGCAACTGACGCCACATAGAAATTAGTTCGCATTTTTCCTCTCCACTGAGCAACAATTTGTCTATAAAGAACAACCACATAAAGTATTTCGTTGTAAATATCTTAGGCAATATACCAGAGTTTGGCATTATATCTTGTGCACAAATACAAACTCGTTTGTTAAATTGTTTCATTTCCCCTCAGTCCGATCTCCAAATCGATTTTTCTGGTAACCTTAAGCACAACAGTCTTAGCTTACTCTGAAACAGTGTGAAACTCGGAGCCTACACAAATGTCTTTACATTTAGACAAGTAGTGCAATCGACCGAAAGATCTTTTACGTAGTGTTCAATTCTAAAGGAATTACTACCTTGGAAAGATAACTGTTTCTCTAAATTTGCAAATATGGCAGGTGAAGGAGCAAGTGATGAATCATCAAGGCTTGTATAAATATACCAGAGTTAGATCACGCACCATAACGTGTCAAAGACATACCTGGTTCTAATAATTCTTTTGAGATATTCCTAGCTTAATTTAGAAAGTAACAGTTTTGTGTCCTTTACTGTCGTTAAAAGCGGATATCGCAAGATACACGCACATTACCAGAATGCAAATTGTACTACATGACGTAATGAAAGCCTATCACGTGACTGTTTAACCGCTATGAAAATGTCAAAAAAAGATTTAGTGATCCCTAAGCCATATACCTAAGTTAACTCTGATACAATTTTAATGTGAATCTAAAGAACATTTTCAACTAAAAAACACTTGTTTAAAGCTCATGAAACCGCCCACCATAACTTAGATAATCGCTATTTCTCAACGTTTATTTCTTCAGAAAATATGCAACT